GTGATAATTTTCTGGTGTTTTTTTATTATTCTGTTTATCATAAAATGATTTGGGATGAGCTTCTTTTCCTTTGGAAAAACTTCTATCAAACTTTTGCGAAGAATATCGATTTGTCCACTTATATGCAATATCTAAAATATATACTTCTCTCAACTGATCTATAGTAGCAAATAAAAATTCAAATGCCTAGATTAAATTTATTCTGCACAAAATCTTTTAAAACTTGAAAAGCTGTACAACTGCTAGTCAATTATATTTTATAATATATATAGACAATAAGTACTTGTACATTTTGTTAATCAATTGATATTATGATATAATTAATAAAAAAATTAATTTCTATAAATAATATAAATAATCGAATAATATAATAATAATCATAACGTTATTTTTTTGCAGGTGCAACAGGACTCACCACTGTTATGAGGAAAGCATTTAATAAACCCACTGCGTTAGCAGACAACAGCAAATAAAAAAATTGCATAATCATGACGGATTCATATACGAATCTTCGATTAACGTCAAATGGCAAATCCATGTCTAGAATTAGTAATTGTGTAGAAACGTTGAAGGTGATGCCATCATCCGCGGTTTTTACGAAGACATTGTAGCTAAAAAGAATTATAAATGTCGAATAAAGGATTATAGATGTCGAATAAAGAATCACCGTCATGTTAGCGAAGCGCTGCGACAGTTTGACATTGCTCGTTGTCGTAAACATGCTGAAATTCGTTCTGGAACACTTTTCCCAATCAATCGTCATCATCATTAATATCTTGTTGAACGTTCTACGAACGGTTATCATTGGTCATAGTCGTGATAACAAGCGCAATGAAGCGTTATACGAACCATCGGTGAAAAATTTTATGTTGTACATTGACTTATAACTCTTGCGAGTCCGATCATTTTCCCTTTGTGTTTGATATTTAATTTATTACAGCAATTTGTCCTAGTTTAGCTTTCTTACAATGTTCACGTTTTTATTTGCCAAATAATTTAATTTATCGACCAAAGCAATTACCAAATAGTTTGATGTATCGACTAAAGTAATTGTTAAATCAAGATGTTATACATATGTAAAATGTATGTAACAAAATTAATGTGGTTAAATATTATAATTGAATATAAATAATTTAACTGATATTTAAAACAAATTTTTCACTGATAGTATCACTACGTGCCGTTGCGTATCTCACCGCTGCTTATACCAAAAAACGACAAGTTTAAATAAGAATATCGTGTATGCCATTGTTATACTAAAAATAATCATTATCTCGGAAAACTCGATCAAATAAAAGTGCTTTACGATATATCGATATTGAAGAGCTTGCTCGATTACGAGCGTGAAAATCCAGAACAGTCGACGTAATAAAATGCACGATGTAGTCGGCCATATGCCAAAAATTCGTAGACAAATTTCTATCGCTTTACTAACTGTATTCTCCACTTTCATATTTCACTTATTATTATTTTCCTATTGTTCTGCAAAGTTAACGTGTGTATCGATTCTGATAAGAGAACTTTAATCGATGTTATGATCAGCACCTAATCGACTATACGATATGCACAATGTGGTATCTCTGTACAGACTGAAAGCTTGGTAAAGAGAGCAAAGTGGGGTTTACTCCCCTTCTCCTCCCCAGGAGCCGAAGCTTATTAAATATTTCGATCGCAACGTGCATAGATTGCGTATGCGTATACTATTGTCGATGAAGAGAAAAAGTTTCCGGGTGGCTGACCTCTCCCTCTCGAATTCTTGGGCGAAACGATGGTGTAGCGCGCACTGCATTATTTTCTTTAAAAATTCAAGCAACAGCGACAATAAATGTGAATATACACAGGGCATTGAACCGTGTTCAATGACCGTAAAAGTTTTGTATTTGCGTGCGTAGGGCAGAATTTTTCGAGAAAGAGGGAAGATAGAAGAGGCGAAAGTTTCTCTTACCGAGGTTTTGTTTCCTTAATATCGAAAGATATTCTTTCTCGCGCATTACAGTGAGTGTGGCGAATTGTGCACGCGTTCACAACTTATCGAACAACTTATTCTCTCGAAATATATAAATCGCGCAATTTTGAGTGAAAGTTCGGTGCACGTCAGATACAGATTGTAGGCAATAATCGTTAAATAGAAAGCCAGAAGCAAGAGACGGGAAAACGAAGTGCTGAGTGAAGTATTATATTCCAGTACCAAAGGCGTTCCTAACAAACGACGAGCATAAAATAAGCTTTGAGAAGACATCACAAAATACAAAGGAGCTTTTCTTAATTTTTTAAATAGGACTGTTTCTTAGGCATCATAATGTTGTTTGTACATTACGAAAATCTAAAAAAATATCCGATTATGCGAGAAGGGCATTTGTTGCAATTTTGTAATATTTTTGTAGATATTTTATTTTACAGATGGAAGCTAAACAAATTGATGAAATTATTACAAACAAATATCAATATTATGTAAACACATAAAATATTAATAGTAATAATATTTTTAATATTATTATTACACTGTGATACTTTTATTACTCTTTTAATAACTATTATACTATTATTACCTCATGCTACTCTGCTAAACCCTATCAGGATAATATTATACAATCATAATATTATAGAGATTAATCTTAATATTTAGTTCATCGCCGGCATAAAAAGGAACGAAAAGTAATGCAGCAACGTTTTTACTTTAAATCATATGCAAATTTTGTTGCAACTAAACCAGCTGTTAATTCTCATTAAAATGTCGATGTAAATAGATACAGTTTCGTTTTAATACATCGCAAGTAGAATCGATAAGTAAGAAGCCGAAGTTTTTATAATCTGTAACAGTATTATTTGGTTACTATAAGAATATTAATGCAGAATTTATAAATATATTTAAATTTAATGTAAAAAGTATTTGTTATCTGACTTATTTTAATAATATAACAATCTAACTTGACTTAATAATTTAGTAAGGTGAATATTGCACCAAATATAATTAACTATTATGTAAAATAAATATATAAAAATACAAATAATATAAAATACAAATTGAATAAAAAAATATATAGTACATTACCAAAATTAATTGGTAGTAATATTTTATATTTTAAGAAAAAATAACATATTTTTTATTTTTTATTAATTTTGGACAATTATGGCAAAACAATTTTAATATATAAAATAAAATATAATAATATAAAAAGTTTTACAATTCAAACCTACGATAAAACTTACATTGGTAAATTGTTCTAGAGATAAATTCATTATTTTTCCAATTGTAATGGTTAATTGATTTTGCGACCTCAATATTAAGAGCAATATATTTCGACTATCTCTGGAATCTGATTCGTACCAAAGAGAATCGTATGCAGCATCTCCAATGCTCTTGCTCTATTAAATAATGGATCTTGTATCTCTTAGAAACAATTACATATTTTGTAATATTTATCATATACAATATTCGTCTCAATATCTAACCTTAGCGCTCAAGTATTCTCCAGCAAAACAGAATATAAATACCTCTATATTCACAGCGAGGTAAAATAAGAAATTCCTGATTATACTTTCTGAAGCATTGGGTCGCCCAATCGACTAGAATTTTAAGAAAGAGCCAAGAAAATGTAATAAAACAATATATAATAATTAAAGTCACGAATTAATACTCTTCTATTCTGCAGAATTAACAGCGCGGTTCATATAGTAGGGGAGACCAAAGCGAAGTCGTCACCGGGGCGGAGTCGTCACTACAGTTATCTCGAAACCTGTATGTTGTGTAAACTCACTATTAATATAGTAAACGCTACTTATGGTGGAGATTGTCCCGATTACGCACATAACAAATCGGACACGACAATATTTCCCGATCGGGAATGTGTCCAATCGGGAAATATTGTCGTTTCTGATTTGTAATGTGCGCAATCGGGACTCACTTCTTATGGTGCCCATGTAACCAACGGAGTTTAGTGAGATTGTATGCCATGTTGTGATTTTCATTAAGGCAAACGTGTTTTCAGTGGTCAAAAGTAAAGTTTTTTGCGCGTCAAAAATTTTAAATATTTTAAATATTATTATCTTTCCGAATCTCGAGATAATTGATTCTGAAGAGTAATGCATGCTGAACACGAATTCAGTGAAAATTTTTTATTTTTGTTAATTTATATTTCATGAGCGATCAAACTTAAAATCTGTGTCCGGGTCGAAATGGTCACCAAGCCACTGGAACGGACTCGTCACTGTGACGACTTTATCCCGGTGGTTTCACTTTATTTTTTGTTGCAAATGCGTCATTGTATTTCTTAATTGCAACAATGCAATTTGAACAGAGCTGACGAGAAACAGTGCATTTCGTGTGAGCATAAGACACACAAGTACGTGCGCTTTTTTTGTAATTATTTTCCGCCATCGTGTTTTTAATTAATAAATGTTTCCATTTTTTTATTAAAAAATAATTAATAAAATATATTCTATTATTTTTTATGATCGGAATTATGTATTTTTATTTAAAATCCAGTCCGATATAATGGAGTGACGACTCCGCCCTGGCAATTTTGACATTTCAATTTTTGCACCTTTGTCGTTTTTACTCTATACCGGTTGAACAAAGCGACCTAGACCAAAAATGCCCTTATAAATTTTGTATCCAAGGGTTCACTATTTACAACGGTACACCACATTTTACTAAAATTATTTGTTTTGTTGTTAAAAATCGGCACCGAAAAGATAGTGACTACTTCGCCTCGGTATCCCCTGTATATTCTTCTTAACCGTAGAATTAATCAAAATCGCTTACCGTGACCATTGTAAAACCCAAGCAGCAGATAAGCAAAGTATCCGATATGAGAAGCACCATTGAGATATACGAGTACAGATCTTCAATATGTTCTGAAAAAGTGATAATATTCTGGTGTTTCTTGATTACTCTTTTTACCATAGAACGATTCGTACTGCACTTATTTTCTTTCGGAAAAAGTTCCAACACACTTTTACGAAGAATATCAATTTGACCGCTTATATGCAACACCTGAAATATACGTTTCTTTCAACAGCTGTACTAATAAAGGTCGCAAGAAAAAATATTATATGGTTTATGACATATTAAATTTACGCGCTGCACAAGAATCTTTCAAAATCTGAAAAGCGCAATTGCTAATAAATTATTTTTGATAAGAAAGGAAATTTGCACATGTACATTCCCCGTTAATCAATTAATATTATGATTAATAAAATATTAAAGAAATAATATTTATAAATAATTGATAATACTCATAATAATAATAATAATATCTTTTTGCGTAACAGGTAACAGAACTCACCAAATTTATAAGGAAAGCATTTATTAATCCCATTCCGTTAGCACATATCAGCATGTGAAGAAATTGAACAATTATGACCGATTCATATACGAATCTTCGATTAACGTCAAATGGCAAATCCATGTCTATAATGAGTGATCGTGTGGAAACGTTGGAAGTTATGACATCATCCATATCTTTTATGAAGATATTGCTGCTAAAAAGAGTTACATTTGTCAAATAGAGAATCACCGTTATGTTAGTGAAGCGCTGCGACAGTTTGGCATTGCACTTCGTTGTTAACATACTAAATTTTGAGTTGGTACATTTTTCCCAGTCGATCGCCATCATCGTTAATATTTTGTTGAACGTTCTAGGAAAGGTTTTCATTGATCATAATTTTAATAACGGCCGCAACAAGGCCTTATACGAACCATCGATGAAAAATTAATTGTTGTGCAATCACTTTAGCAATGCAATTCTGCTTAAATCTTCTTTGCGTACAATAATTTATTTATTTCAGCAATTCGTATTTAATTCACATTATTATTATTATGTTTACATTCTTAATTGCCAAACAAATTATTTTATCAACCAAAGCAGTTGCGAAATGTGTATCTTAACGACTAAAGTAATAAATCAAGACGAAATACTAAATATATGTAACTAACATGTTGAATGTTGTTGAATAATATTGTTAAATATAATTAAGTTAAATAATACATAAAGCTAATTTTTCATTGACAGTGCGTATCACAACGTGCCGTTATATCTCACCGTTGCTTATACCAAAAAATGAGAAGTCTAGTTAAAAGTATCGAATATGCCATGGCTGAACCTAAAATTTTCATCCTGTCGGAAAACTCGATCAAATAAAAATGCATTACAATATATCGATATTGAAAGACTTGCTCGATTACGAGCGTGGCAATCCAGAAGAGTCTACGTAATAAAGCGCACGATGTATTCGGCCAGATGCCAAAAATTCGTAGACAAATTTCTATCGCTTTGCTAACTGTATTGTCTACTTTCATACTTGTGTTATTATTGTTATTATCCTATTATTTTGCACCGTTAACATGCGTTGATTCCGATAAAAAATTTGGAAACGTTACGAAGAAACCTGATCCATCGTACGATGTGCACTATGTGGTATCTTTGCACATACTGAAAGAGAACAAGAGAGTGGGGCTCACCCCTCCAGGAGCCACAGCTTATTAAATATTTTGATCGCGACGTGCATAGATTGCGTGTACTATTGTCGATGAAGAGAAAAAAAGTTTCCGGGTGACCGACCTCTCCCTCTCGAATTCTTGGGCAAAACGATGGTGTAGCGCGCACTGCATTATTGTCTTTAAAAATTCAAGCAATAGCAATAATGCGTGAATATACACAAGGCATTGAACCGTGTTCAATGACCGTAAAAGATTTGTATTTGCGTGCGTAGGGGAGAATTTTTCGAGAAAGAGAGAAGATGGAAGAGGCGAAAGTTTCTCTTACCAAGATTTTGTTTCCTTAATATCGAAAGATATTCTTTCTCGCGCATTACAGTGAGTGCGGCGAATTGTGCACGCGTTCACAACTTATCGAGCAACTTATTTTCTCGAAATATATAAATCGCGAATTTTGAGTGAAAGTTCGGTGCACGTTAGATACAGTAGGCAATAATCGTCACATAGAAAGCCAGAAGCAAGAGACGAGGAAACGAAGTGTTGAGTGAAGTATTATATTTCAGTACCAAAGGGGTTTCTAACAAACGACAAACATAAAATAAGCTTTGAGACAACATCTGCACAAAATATAAAGAGCTTTTCTTAATCTTTTAAATAGGACTGTTTTTTAGGCATCGTAATATTGTTTGTACATTACGAAAATTTAAAGAAATATCCGATTATGCGAGAAGGGCATTTTTTTGTAATATTTTTGTAAATATTTTATGTTACAAATTAAAACAAAATGAATTGATGGAATTGTTACAAACAAATATCAATATTATGTAAACACATAAAATATTAATAATAATAATATTTTTAATCTTGTTATTACACTGTGATACTTTTATTACTCTTTTAATAACTATTATACTATTATTATCTCATGCTACTCTGCTAAACCTTACCAGAATAATATTATACAATCATAATATTATAGAGATTGATCTTAATATTCAGTTCATCGCCGACATAAAAAACAATGATAAGTAATATAGCAAATTATATGCAAATTTTATTGCAACTAAACCAGCTATTAATTCTTATTCAAATGTCGATGTAAATAGAATGCAGTTTTGCTTTAATACATCGCAAGTAGAATCGATATGTAAGAAGCCGAAGTCTTTATAATCTGTAACAGTATCATTTGATTATTAGAAAAATATTAATGCAGAATTTATTAATACTTAAATTCAATGTAAAAAGCATTTGTTATCTGACTCATTTTAATAATATAACAAAATAACTCGACTTAATAATTTAGTAAGGTGAATATTGCAGCAAATATAATTTTTTATTATGTAAAATAAATATATAAAAATACAAATATTGAATAAAAAAATATATAGTACATTACCAAAAATTAATTGGTAGTAATATTCTATATTTTAAGAAGAAATATCATATTTTCCATTTTTTATTAATTTTGGATAATTATGGCAAAACAATTTTAATATAAAATAAAATAATATAAAATCAATAAAAGTTTTGCGTGCAAAACAAACCTAAGATAAAACTTACATTGCTAAATTGCTCTAGAGATAAATTCATTATCTTTCCAATTGTAATGGTTAATTGATTTTGCGATCTCAATATTAAGAGCAATATATTTCGACTATCTTTGGAATCTAATTCATACCAGAAGGAATCGTATGCAGCATCTCCAATGCTTTTACTCTATTGAATGATGGATCTTGTATCTTTTCGAAACAATTATGTAACATTCTGCTTACTTATTGTTTATGTATATGTATAACATTAGTCCCAATGTCTAACCTTAGTGCTTAAATATTCTCCAGCGAAACAAAATACGAACGCTTCCGAATTCATAATGAAGTAAAATAAGGTATTCTTGATTATACTGTTGAAAGCATCGGGTCGACCAATCGACTACAATTTTAAGAAACATTCTAAGAGCAAGGGAAAAGTCATAAAATGATGAATAATCAAAAGTACGCGAATAAATATCTCTTATTCTGCAGATTTATCAAAGCGGGTTCTGTAGTATATATTTCTCTTAACCGCAGAATTAATCAAAATATCTTACCGCGACAATTGTAAAACCTAAGCAACAGATAACCAAAGTATCTGATACGAACAGCACCATCGCGATATACGAATATAGATCTTCGATATGCTG